TAGCCTACAAATGGAATGAAACCCGGTCCTTTAAAAACAAATTGTAATCTATTTCGATCCTCTTTTAAGAATTTAGTAAAGATTTACATGACTTAATATCTTTATATTGAACAATGTGAAAATAAAATGAAATTCGAAAAATAACATTCAAACATTACTAGATAGTGTCAGTATTTTATAAGTATTTTATAAGTAGGTTTAATTTCCTGAACAAATCAACCCTAACGGAGTACATGAATAAGTAAAAAAAGTCGATTGTAAGATATAATAAATGAAAATTAATTGGGAAAATATCACTAACATGCTGGGAGAAATTAAATTATAACATAAAAACCGTGAGTACTTGACATTTTAGTAAAATACTTATAAATTGTAAGTAAAAGCAATCACTTCAAACTTTTTCTCAGTTGCCTTTGCAGGGAGAAAAATAAATAAAACAGAATCTTATATATACACCCTTGTGCAAATTAATTGAAACAAAACGAATAATTCCATTATTATTTACTTTTTTCCGTATTTTCCCAATAAAATATCACCCAGTGCACATGTTACTACTTCGTATGTCCATTCCATGAAGTCGTTCCTTGCAGATTGACCACAGATTCTTGATTGGGTTTAAATCAGGAGAGTTTCCGGTCCTGTCTATAGTACTTTAATTTGCCCACTGGTAAGGCTTACTTGTGTGTTCGTGCAGCGTTACAATTTTCGTACGCTTCCTTGGAGTAATCGCAGACAATAGCCATAGGAAAACTAATCGACAATCAAGACAATAGTGTCTGGGTGTGATAAAAATCTGATGCAATCATGGATAATGCAATATTTTCAAGGCCAAACAAATTTCATCATACACCCCGAAAATAGATTCATATTACTGCACACCACTGCAAATGATCTAATCTAAGAACAAATAGAAATCGATTACACCATGTCATTCCAATGGGTCTAAAACGAACTGTATGGTGAAAGAAAGGAAACTAAAGCGGTTGTTTCAATTAATTTGCACAAGAGAGTATATATATATAAGAGAAACCCGGATATAAGAGAAACCCGGATATAAGAGAGATTTTCTATGGTCCCAAATTAGAGCCTGTGTTAATGTATATAAAATAGACCAAACACGGATATAAGAGAAACCCGGACATAAGAGACTTCTTCTCCGGTCCCGACAACTATCTTATATCCGGGTTACACTGTATATATATATATACATATATATATATATATGCGTGTGTGTATGGTTGTGTGTGTGTGTGATGACAATAATGATTATATTTTCTTTCTAAAAACACGTTCAAACTTTGTAACTCCGAAGAGAACGATTTCACGGTCAGCATTCCTTATAATAAATAAAACGCTCAATATCAAAAGAAATAATAAAGCTAAAATCATTATTAATAATTAAATTACAATAATTAACTTGCATAACTAACTTGGAAACAATAAAAAAGTAATATTATTTAATTTTACAAAAACTATTGTTTGCTTTGCTTTAAGAACTAAATTAAATTTACTAAACTTAGTTATATAACATATATATATATATATATATATATATATATATGTGTGTGTGTGTGTGTGTGTGTGTGTGTGTGTGTGTGAGTATGCGTATTTGCATTTATACCTATCCCACTCTCTCATTTATTTAACCTGTCCCACATTCTCTTTTCTCTCTCACTCTCTATCTACAAATCTATATCTCTCTCTACCTCTCTCTCTCTCTCTCTATATATATATATATATATATATATATATATGTATAGAAGCCATGAATTACATATATGAAAATAATTAAACATATCAGATATTATATACAATTAAATACTAAATATAATTATTATAAGTCATAGATGACAGATTTTATTGACATATGCATTTTTGTGTTTATAAGTGGGCTAAGATTCGATTATTTGTGAAACAGACGATTAAAAGATGTTTTTATTTAACCATTAGCAGTCCGTTTTGTACAAAAAACAGGCTGCCACTAATTCACTGAATGTTTTGTCTACCGATATATAGACAATTTATATAGAGGTAGAAATATTTTATAAACCCTATTACATGTTTAAATTAATTTATGAAAGCGGATCTCTCTCTCTCTCTCTCTCTCTCTCTCTCTGTATATATATATATATATAAATATATTGTGTGTATTTAGGCAGCATATTTTCATTTATACACGTTTCATTAAATAATATAGACAAGTGTTGTCTATTTATTTTATGTAAAATTTGTTCGTAACTTCTGATAAGTTTGATAACATTATCATTAAACGAAGAAAGAAATTCACAATATTGACCCATATTTTTTTAATATAATCTAAGCTTTCGGCTTATTTAAGCCATTATCAAAGATGTAAATCACAAACATATTAAACAATATACGGACACGACAGTGATGATAGTCTGTCATTGTTTACATAATGGATCACTAAGCAACGATAAAATAAATAGACAGCACTTGTCTATATTATTTAATGAAACGTGTATAAATATAAATATATATATATATATATGTCTATCTAAATCTGTTCATATCTATCTATCTATCTATCTATATAAATACATATATATATATCTGTATATCTATGTATCTAAGTCAGTTCATATCTATCTACTTACCTATGGATATATATATATATATATATATATATATATATATATATATATATATATATATATATATGTGTGTGTGTGTATCTAACTCAGTTCATATCTATCTACTTGCCTATGGATATATATATATATATATATATATATATATATATATATATATGTGTATCTAAGTCAGTTCATATCTATCTACTTACCTATGGATATATATATATATATATATATATATATATATATATAATGAATGAATAAAAATCCTTAAAAATACATCAGATCAGGTTATGATTTATTTCGTGGAATTCATGTATTCATTATTATATTGCTCCGTTCTTACAGTTAGCTCGCTTTGGATTTATATCCTCCTTGTTATTTTCCTACTAGTAATCAATTGATATTATATATATATATATATATATATATATATATATATATATATATATATATATAGATAGATAGATAGATAGATAGATAGATAGATATTTAAAAAATTAGGATATCAGCCATTTACGCTACTATGGTTTCAACTTTTAGGCGATATATATTTGACCTATATATATATATATATATATATATATATATATATATATATATATATATATATATATGTGTGTGTGTGTGTGTGTGTGTGTGTGTGTGTGTGTGTGTGTGTGTGTGTGTATACATAAAGGTTAAAACTATGGAAGTTGAAGAAAATTATTCCCAGCAATATATTTTTGAAGAAAAACATATTACCAGCAGTACATTTTTGAAAAACAATATTACCAGCAATACATTTTTGAAAAAAAAATGTTATCAGCAATATATTTTTGAAAGAAATATTAGCAGCAATATATTTTTGAAAGAAATATTAGCAGCAATATAAATCTTGTCGGCATTAAATAACCCATTGAGGTTGATATGTCGTAAAACAAAATAAACCAAACCTGTGCTGCAAATTGATTTCTTACAAAGAATATATATTCTATTCATACGAGTCCATCCTAAAAAAATCTTGTCGGTATTAAATAAACCATGCCATAAAAGAAAACAAACGAAACCAATCCCACGCGTAAGAAAAATTGATATTGTGTTTTGAGATATATTCCGAGTTGAAAGCGAAAAATTTTCCGTTCATTTTTTTCTCATCGATAGGTCTTACCCGACAGATATGTCATCAGCGACTGGCGATATTTCCCTCCTCAAGGGGCCTCCTCCTGAAGTGAGCACTTCACAAGCCGTGCCGTTTTCATAATACTAAGATCTAGCCTTCTGGCCAAAACAGTTTGGCTTTTATTAAAATATAACTTCTTACTCATGACGGCAGCATCTCCAATAAACTTCGAGACAAAAATAAACAATTCTAAATTCACATAAGTCTAAATGTTGCCAGATTGTATGTATCGACGGTATAATGTGAGCGAAATTAGGAGATCCGTGATTCAATTCCATTTGAGTTCGTTAAATCTACTTACGCGCAAATATCTCTGGGAAATGATTGAATTCCTTTCCCCCTCATCCCGATCTATGGGTTAAATAGTAGTGTTTGTATATGGAAAAATTATTACTATTCTAAAAAAATTATTAATTCAGTCAACAGAATAATTTCACAATCCAAAATATGTTTGGGCTTTAAATAACTCACAAAGGGTCGATAAGCCATAAAACAAAACAATCATTCAAATAACTCATCTTACTTAACCAGAAAGGCAAGTCAAATCGTAACGTCATTAGCTGTCAGCCTTTTATATATATTAAAAACAAATTGTGTTTAAAACATACGCGGCAAAAATTAATTTGCATAACACATAAGTTAATAAATTCAAATGAACTTAGCGTTATGAGAAAAATAATTTTTAGGATTTTTTTTTACAGTAGAAATCACCCTGTTCAAGCCAGTCGAGGTAGAGGGCCATGTTAAGGGGTAGTTTATACGGATAGGAGGTTGAAGACAACGGTTACCTCTAGACTTGAACAGGTTTTGTAGTGATCAAGGAAACATCCTCTTGGGAGCCTGTTCCACAGTTCAGTGGTTTTAGAGGTGCACCTGTATATCGTCGTATCATCAGTATAAATATCTACAAATGATCTTGTGTATATTCCTAGATAGATCATTTATATAAATCAAGGCGAGGATTGGTCCGAGCAGTGACCCCTGTGAGACGCCTGCGTTGACCGCCAGGGCCTCGGAGACCTAGCCGTTAATAACTACCTTCAGGGAACAACCTACCAGGATGGAATTTATAATTAAGGAAAACCTTCTAGTGATTCCATAGATGTGTAGCAAACCTTTGTGCTATACATAGTCGAAGGACTTCGAGATATCTAATGCTATGGTCCTCGAGGTATGTGTGTGTGTGTGTGTGTGTGTGTGTGTGTGTGTGTGTCGTCCCCACTAATTGTACGCGTAAGGGCTTACGGACATATCTCGTTGAATCAGCGGTTCTCGCAAGATCACCGAAGTTAAGCAACGTCGAGCCTGGTCAGTACCCAAATGGGTGACCGTTTGAGAATACAAGATCGAAATTAGAAATCAGGGATCCAAATTCCAATTCCAGTCTGGTTCTTTATATTCACGTACACGCAAATACTCTTGGGGATAGTATGAATCCACCTCTTCCCCCCAGCTATGGGTTAATTAGTACAACATCCATCAATAAATTATTATTACATCTAAAAATTATTACAATCTAAAAGAAATATTTTCTGGCTTTAAATAAACAGCAAAAGGTTGATAAACCATAAAATATAATTTTAAAAAAATATTTTAGAAAAGTGGTATCTTACTGAATATGTTGTTTATACATGATTTTTTTATAGATGTATAGGACTTTTCTTACTAATTGTTCACCCAATGCAAGGCCCGAGGGCTACTCAAGTTAGAAGGTTACTGAATGAGCTTGTTGTATGAACGTAAGAGGTGGTGGTAAGAAGTGTAGCTTATAAGGATATGTAGGAAAGATAAAAGATGACTCTTCATTCGAAGATTGTAGTGATCGAGGAAGCATCATCTCGAGAGTTTGTCAAACTTTATTCCCTTCGTATTCCATTGGCAAGGAAGAAGTTCCACTTGGACAGTTTCTTCCCATGAAGTGTTTCTTTGAGTAACAGATACCCGAGTGAATGCTTCCTCGATCACTACAATCTTAACATCTTCATGTCTCAGGTCGACCATTATCTATCCTCGTAATCTACAACTCTTATTTCTCTACAGTTGTCCTCTCGTTTGAGTGGCTCTTTGGCCTTGTATTGATTAAACAATAGTATTTTTTAAACTTGTTCATTCTCTGTTACTGACTGTGGTGTATGGACATACCGCATTTTGATGCTATACTTCTTGCATAGTTCTCATTTTTTTCCCGAGGGCTACTCTGTCATGACGTGTATTTGTGCTCTTTTGGGGCCAACTGAGTGTAGCCACTGAAAATGTATTGTACACTTTCAGTAGCTTACCCTCAGAGCCGGCAGAAAGGTAAACCAGCTGTTCTGTCAGTAGCGTACTCGGTAGAATTTGTTCTCCAAGATTGCTCTTGCGACAAAAAGATCGTCCCCTCGTTTTCCTTCTTCAAGAATCCGTTCCTAAGCGTCCACTCTGGATCTGTCCCTTCTTGGGTTTCTTTTCAAATGCTCCGTGCAACGTTTTTCCCTTCTACGCATTGAATTTCTCATAAGTATTGTTGTTATTATTATTATTATTTTATTTCCTTTTGATTTCTGGTGTGTACTCATTTCTTTCCGGGTCCCGACCAGAGACCTAAGTTCATAAATGGCATCATGAGATTTTCCACTGAACAGTTTTGAAAAAAAACCACACATATTTTACATAGATAAAGCTCTTTATAAGGTGTGGGCTGTACTTGTGAGAACCATATTTTTTTGTATTTCTTTGAGGCATTGGACTTCCAGGAATCCCTTCAATGACTCTATTGGTATCTTTCTCAATCAATCCGAGGGCTCCAACTACAAAAAGAATTGTTGATTTTCTCAAGTGCCACATTTTTGTGATTATTTCATTTTTATTATTATTATTATTATTATTGTTGTTGTTGTTGTTATATCCTTTGATTTCTGGTGTGTACACATTTCTTTCCGGTCCCGCCCAGAGAACTGAGGTTAGAAATGGCATCATGACACTTACCACTGACAAAAAAAAATTACATGGACAAAGCCTTTCGTAAAGTGTGGACTGTACTTGTGAGAACAATTTTTTGTATTTCTTTGAGGCATGAAGCTTCCAAGAATCCCTTCAATTAGTCTACTGCAATCTTTTCCAACCAGTCCTAGGGCTCCAACTACAACAGGGATTGTTGATGTTTCTATGTGCCACATTTTTGAGATTTCGATTTCATCATCATCATCATCATTATTATTATTTTCTTTAATTTCTGCTGAGTTCTCATTTCTTCCCGGGTCACAACCAGAGACTTAAAGTCAGAAATGGTATCATGACATTTTCCACTGAGCGATTAAAAAAAAAAACTAACAAAAAAAAACAAAAACAAAAAACATATATTTTACATAGATAAAGCCTTTCGTAAGGTGTGGGCTGTACTTGTGAGTACAACTTTTTGTATTTCTTTAAGGCAACTGGCATTTTTAATGACCTCCTGCACCACATTTTTTTTTTATTTCTATTTCAAGTTCCTTGTAATTTGATAGTTTTTTGAAGATTGTCAAAGATCGATTGCAATCCGCAGGGACTGACATGTCAATAAGAAAGCAAATTTTGTCTTTTCGGTCTCTAATCACGATGTCTGAGCGATTAGTTTTGATTGCTCTGTCTTTATGTGTATTGTATAGTCCCATAAAATTGCTACAGGTCCTATCTCCGTAACCGGGTCTGGATGGTGTTCATACCAATTTCTTGTATTTTCCTTTCCGTAAAAGTTGCATACTTTCCAATGCAGATATTGGAACTCTATGTCATGCCGGCTTTTATATTCAGTGGATGCCAATACCATTCAACCTGATATAAGATGGTCAATACCATTCAACCTGATATAAGATGGTTTCTGGATACTTATCACAGAATCTGTATTTTGGGCAAACATAGATTTTCAATATATATGCTTGGTAATTTCTAGTGTGGCACCATTTAACGAGACAGAAAAAGAAAAGAAAGAAAAGAAGGAAAGGAGAGGCTAAGGACCGAATCGTAGATGATAAGCAGAACACACACACGGCTAAGAGACAATGGATAAGGGATATTTTGATAAGTAACAAATGGCGAAAGGGTGTCATTACAATGACAGGGAAATTCTGAGTAAAAAGAAAGGGAAAGAAAGAAAGAATCAGATATGTTTTGGCGACGGCTGTGTTATCTAAGGATATGAAAACAAACTATTGGTACGGAAAGGCATCTTATTATCATCTACAGACTGACTGGCCAAAGAAAAATTCAAATGAAAATGTTATTTCGATAAGTGACGAAAAACAGGCAACTAAAAGGACTTTGGACAGATATGAAAAATTAAAAGCCACCCACGAGTGTCCGCTGACCGATTTCCTTCGACGGAACATCCTTGGCTTGCGATAATAAAATTATGTTATCAGAAATATGTACCGAAGGGGAATGAATGGGAATTTAGAAATGTCTTTTCGGGGCGACGGTTGGCCGTGTTAAGAAGACCACCCATTCGGATAATTAATGATAAAATACCTGACGAAAACCACGTGTAGAACAAGAGTTATGACCGCCATTGTTCATATTGTCCCGTTTGCGGCTAGAGAAATGTTAACGGCGATTAAGAGGAAGAAAAGGAAAAGAGAAGAGATAATTTTTTTTAGCTAAGCAAGATATTTTTTTTCTTCCTAAAACAAAGCCGCGGATTCGTCCACGCCCGACTAAGACATCATTGGTCAAGTGGTGATCACGTGACGCACGAAGGAGGCTGTCGCCGCCCACCCAGTGTGTAGGTATGAGAAGCTGCTACGAAGAAGTGGGGAGGGCAGTTCACGCCCTCTGAAGTATGGTGAGAAGGTGGGAGGAGGAAAATTTCCCAAAAATGGAAAAAAGTGGAAATTCCTAACCAGAGGTGGATATGTATTTAGAATTATCGAGAAAACCCTGACGCCGACAGACCCACCCCGGATTTGGTCGGCGTCCATATAAGCGAAGCCACAACGAGCAGAAATCAGTTCAATTCAATTTCAGTTTGAGTTGGAGTTGCAGCGAAGAGTCAGTCTCCAGTTGAAGCCGGCTCGCAGATAGCTGACCAAGATTCACGCAAATTCCGGACTCCTCTTCAACCCAAGAACAATTATTTTGAAGAGCGACTTAGATCCAGACCACCACAATAAGTTTTTTTTTTTTTTTACTTTCGTCCAAAGACACACCGAAACACCAATTTCTTAGAGAGCAAACAACTTGAAGCGTTAAAACTTGCCTAACGGAAAACGACGTGTCACAATCCATAGAACGGGTTGGGGGATAGATGCAGTCCTATGTATCGAACAACTAGACATAAAGTTTGTTACCTTTTTCTTTGATACTTTGAACTTTTGAGTTTTCATTTTATTTTCTTTTATGCATATTTGTGTGGTATCACCCCCGTTGAACCCGTTGCATTACGGCCCCAACCACTGTTTGATCTCGTCTGCCTAAGATCAATTCACAACGTGGGTAGGCAGACTGGGGATCAGTACAGTTACCTTGGTAACCAGGCGTTGGAAGCGAGTTGGGAACGACGAGGCTGATATCAAATCTAACCAGATTCCCACCCGAATCACCAAAAGGTTAGAACGTCACATTTGGGTGCCGCGACTGATACCAAGCCAGTTGGTCGTCACAGGACGAGACAACACGACTGACGCGACAGGCGGACGTCACGTTTGGAGCAGTGACACCCGAACGGAGCAGCGAGGAGCGAACAGCTGGCGCCGCGGCGAGGACGTCACAATTGGTGCTGTTTAGGGACGTCACAGTTGGTGCCGTGGTAGACCAGAATAGAACGTCACAGTTGGCGCTGCGACCAGAGGACGACGTCACACTAGTTAGCAAGCACTGGTCCTGGGCAGCAAGGATAAAATCTTCAGTTTCAGCTTTTAACCTTGCCCTACGTAGACACTGATGGGTACGGGGTTTGTCTAGATCAGCTTTTTTAGTACGGCCAGAATATTGACCATGTAGAGGTTTATCTTGCTATCGTTTCTGTATCTGGTTCATTGCATTTGCCTTTGATTTCTTTTTTAAATTTTTGGCAGCTGCAGATGGTGTATTATGCTTCACTTGCGTGTCTTCACCCACTTGAAAATCCATTTTGAAATGTTCACACTCTTTATTATTATTATTATTATTATTATTATTATTGTTGCTGTTGTTGTTGTTGTTTAGCGTTTAAATTATTTTAACAATTTTAATAAGTGATAATTCGTAAAAATACCTCGCAGTGCGACAACTTCGTTTTGAACCGCCACATAACGACGCCATTTTGAACATCTTGAGCAGCGTTCACGAGTTTCGCGTTATCTTATCGATACGGGATGTCAACATGCCTTTGGGTACAAGTCGAGCCGA